CATTGTGTTAATAATTCTTTTTTTTTGAAAATTGTCAAAAAGTTGTTAAAATTATATGAGTGCAAAACTGTAACATTTGCCTTAATTTACATTTTTGTCTGCTGGTTTTATTATTTTTGTTGGATTGACTTCAATTCGTTATGAGAGAGGAAGTACAGGTGTACCAATAAGGATATATAACAAAAGTATGAATGTTTTTTGAACTGGGAAAAATAGCGACGGCTGAAATAAAAGGTGTTACACCATGTTACAGTTTTGCTCGTCACTGTACGTATATTGCCGCATTATAAACAAGTTCACAAAACTCTCAGAAAATTGGTTTATTATCTATATGGGCAATTCGTATTTTAAGAATTTGAATCTATAACTTAAACCCATGTATTTTGGTCATTTTTTTTTTGCATTTTGGTACACGTTCGGCTATCAGGTCTATTCTGCACGTTACCAAAGATTTTGTAACCAGAAAATTTTATTACCAAAAAATGTTACCAGCTCTGTCACCGCGATTCTAGTTACATTGGTAATGCAGTTAAAATATTCAGCAATTCAGCTATGAAGAATTGTGCAAATTCTGGCATTGCATATTTCACGGGGCAATACTTTGTTACCAGCTTATGAGATCACAATCACACATTCAGCATACGTTTGCTTGTGGTAGTGATCACATCTGCTCATACACAATCCTCGTCATTTGAATTGCGCACCCTTTTAATCCTTAGTATTTAGAGTTTTCCTTCTGTTTATTTAATATTAATTTTTTGTAAAAATATGCATATTATATGGGTAAAAGCAATTTTAAAAGTTTTTACAAATTATAACTTAAAAAGAAAATTGTTTTCCATTTCTTGTGCAGCATTTTATATGATTTTTTCGTTTTTCTTGAGAGCTGAAAACAGCTCTTAAAAAATGTCAACAAAGGAGTGTAATGATCTGCAGCGAATAAATTAATCATATTTTTATAAAAATTTCGGGTATGCAGATTTGTAGCCCATTGAATTATAGAATAATAAAGTTCATGCTTCAAGTGGCTGTAAAATAGCACTGATTTTTAAAATTTTTTTTTGACGGTGCTGCGCATTTTTCCATATAAATATTTTGTCGAGCATATTTTGTATGGAATAAATCCACCATCTCCAAAAAAATTGTCAAAAATCAACGCTATTTTACAGATTCTTGAAACTTACAATTTATTGTACCAAAACTGAATGGGCTACAAAACTGCATATCCGAAATTTTCTAAAAATATTTATTATTAACTTATTCACTGCAGATCATTCTGATAGCGCACCCCTTTGTTGACATTTTTCTTAAATTTGTATGAAGTTTTAAAATCGGATCTAATGAATATTAAAGCACCAGGTTGACCGAGCTATGCCCGGAGTGTTTATACTTTTTAAAGTTTTCAAGATTTGGATAGCTTTTAAAAAATATTTTGGAAATAAACAAAAAAAAAAGTAGGACTTCGATATCTACTAAGGAAATATTTTACACCAAAATTTAGGTGGCAACCCTATTCCGAAATACGCTGGAATGAAAGGTACATATCTTGAGCGTATATGTACTGTGTATACATACAAATATTTTGATAAAAATTGACAAAATAAAAATTTTTATTACATAGAAACGTGGTAACCTTGATGGAAAATATTTTCTGACCAAAGCTCTTAACAATGCCTTTCATTGGATATCCATATTGCGATGTTTTAGATAAATTGTGTAGAATCGAAAAGAAGTGGCAACCTTATACTATTATCCTAAGAGATAACATTTTGTATATTAGGTAAATCATTGTTTAAGAACCTTCTCTTGGTACCCATGAATAGTAATATTTTTCCTTTTTTTTCTAAACAAAAAATTAAATAAATATGCGATTCAAAATGGGTGGCAACCCCATTAAAAATATTTTTGAATCAGGAATCTTTCAAATACCTTCCATTTGATACCGATATTATGATGTTTTAATTAATTTGTAACTAATTTCGAATAGGTGGCAACCTTATACGAGTCTTCTCGGAGATAATGCCTATTCAGATAACCTTAGGATCCAAAACATTATCGGTGTACAAAATTTCATCGAAATCGTTAGAGCCGTTTCCGAGAACTCTATGGATATACATATATGTATATATACAAGAATTGCTCGTTTAATGTAATAAGATAAACAAAGGAAAACTGTAATCACTAAGAATTAAAAGGGTTAGCTATTTAAATGACGAGGAGTGTATGTGGCGTACGTTTGGGAGAATGGGCCTTTTCACTCCAGTATCCTTGTGCAGTGGCTCTCATAGGTATACATGTATTAGTAAGATTCGTTGCCCTCTTCATGTTTGCCCGCGATTTCCCCCTGATCTAGCCCGCGAAATGGGCTCGCTTGCCCGTACGGGCAAAAAAGCCTCTACGGGCAAATGTGCCCATGTCTGCATTAGAATGCTGATTACATGTTAGCAGTAATATAATCGAGAACTCATAAGAAATACATTATATTATTTATCACGCATGTAATGCATTACTACTTTTCCGACTAGGTGTTTCACGCTGTCATTCGAGAACGTCGGTATAGGGCGCAATGATCCAGTGGGAAAATGTAATGTATAGTAAACGAAAAAATAATCAGTAAAACAACCCTTTTCACATTCGAAAATTCATTTTTTCCCCAGGGCGATATCCTAAGAAAAGTGGGGAATTCAATTTTTCATTACCTAGTATCGAGAAATGAATATGTTTTAATATGAAATGTTTGGGGCTTTTTGAACACAATAGAATGCTAATTACATAGTTAGCAGTAATATAATTGAGAACTCATAAGAAATACATTGTGGTTGTTCACGCTTGCCTATTTATCAGGTTATATGGTTAAAAATAATAGACAACAAGGCAAGCGCGAAAAACCATATTATATTATTTATCACGCATGCAATGCATTACTACTTTTCCGACTGGGGAAGTTTTATGGAAGAATTTAGTTCAATTTTCAAATATAAAAAATATTACAAGAATTACGAATTTGAGGATAGCTAAGTAAAGTGTTATTTTTTCGCAGTGGCTATTCTTAACGCAATGTAAAATGTTTAAGGGAATAGTATGATTTTGTTAAGTTCTTCCTTTTGAACACTTTTCACAAAATGAAAGCGAAGCTTCTCCCATGCCTACAAGTAAAGATAAAGGAAAAAGGACAGCTAAAAATGCATCTATCAAAGATGATTGCATCTAAAATCAAGTGAATGTACCTAATGTACCTTTAAGTCAGAAAACGTCGGAAAAACGTACAATTATACCAACTTTTTCATCCTTGATGCTTTGTCCATTTTCATGCAATTCATCTTATCTGTCAGAGCGAGTCTGTCATTTAAAGCGTAGAAAAAAATTTTTTGTGACACAACATCAAAAAGCTGAACACGAAATGGAGAAGAAGCTCGGTCATACAAGCGCTAAACATTCATTTATTGCAATCAAATGTGATATCCTGTTCATCCCGAAATAACCGAGGATATAATTTTAAAACAATTTAGGGTTTTCCCTTAAACTGGAAAAAGCCTTAATAACTTCGAAAAACCTAAACTTTTTTGGGGTCAAGATTTATATGAAATGAAAAAGCCGGGTTGTTCGATAAAAAAAACCCGGTTTATTCGATATTCGAAAAATCAAAATTTAAAAAAAAAAACGCCCTCGATTTCTATAAAAACCGATGGGAACAGGTTTGGAAAAACCGAGTCAATCGAGCTAATATGTACTTATATACATAAGTACATATCGTCGTTTAAAGTACAAAACCGTGTATCAAGAAACTGCATAACCTCGTATGTGAGGCTGCCGAAATTTTATAGGAGAGAGTAAACCTTGTCTTATTTCAAAACGGTTCTCTTTTTTATTTCTAATTATCTCTTCTTCTTATATCTAAATATCGATAGTTTAGTATAAATGGACAAGGATACACGGTTTTGTACTTTAAACGACGACATATATACATATGTATATGGGAGTTTCCAAACTGGCGGTACGAGACGCTCGTATGACAAAATGTAAAAAAAAAGAATTGGAAAAGTCAAAATTTTAAAAAGGGTTTTTCTAGATTTGCATAGCAATTAAATGGCCCCTTATTCAGTAAGAAAATTATAACTGTTGGTAGCAGCGATTTAAAGGTATTAGTAAACTTACGCGCTGGCGTGCAAAATTGCAAAACTCTGTGAACTGGGAATTTGTATAAAAGCTTTGGAAGTAATATTGGAAATGCTTAAGGTTAATTTTCCAAGTCTTGAAATGTAAAAATCGTTTCTGCTTTATGTTTAATCAGCTGAATTATCTGACGTGAGGTTACCTGGCGTTACGTTACTAAAATTTCCATTGAAAAAGTTGTGTTAATATTGTTCTTGAAAGAATTTTTAACATGAAGAAAATATGCATTTTATGTCGAACGTTCTTTTTATTTTGACATCAGCGCAAATAGCGGTTTCATTTTTTGCAAATCCATGTCCTACTACGTTTCAAATAAACATGGCAAATGCGAAACAAATCAGAAATTTTCTGCTTACATAACCAGTATATATAATAAAAAGCAGCCAAATCGGCCTATTAATAAGTTAGGTATAGGACTTTTAATTTTTTTTGCGCGGTAGACTTCACTGGATTCGCCCATATGCGGCATATCGCTAGCTTAGAGTGAAAAGTTGCTAAGTCCACTTTTTATGAAAACTCATATTTCGGTACAGGAGGCTAGATAAATTAAAAATGCATTGTTCTGAAAAGGATAAGGGTGCTTGTTTTATTAATTCTCGTTTATATTCAATGAAAGTAAAATTTTCTATGTCCAAAAGAAGCGCCGAAAATCCGATAAGCTCAAAATAGTACGAAATCTTTTAATAAATATCGAATCCCTCTGATTCATATGGAGTTTTGTTCTGCTTTAAACAGCCAAAATGTTGTATCAAAGATTTTCGTAATACTTGAAGAAAATGACCATAAGAAACTTTTTTCCTCTCCTGTAAAGTTTTTAAAATGGGGCTTAGCAACTTTTCACTCTAAGCTACCAATATGATTTTTTGGCTCGAAAAATTTCAAAAGCATTAGAAAAAAAAATGTGACACGAAGGGAATAAGAAAGATGCGATAACCAATAAATTTCAAAAGTAAATGATTAATGAGTTCAGTAAATCTTCATAAAATAAAGTACAAGTATATACATATCTTTTAAATGCTCGCGTTATTTGAATATTTCGGTCCAGCGAGTTCTTTCTCATCTTGGTCATTTTTCCACTGTCATACCGTGATGCTTGCATATGTATGTACATAGTTTACATAAGTTAGTAATCTATAAAGCTCGAGTTAGTGTAAAATCAAAGTAACGTAATTTAAAACCAACTTCTTATCAGTAGATGTATATGCGAAAAAAGTATAAAGCAGTTTTTCAAAACGAAAGTTTTAACTTCTAGAGTTCTTACGAAAGTTAAATCAAGCTTGGTTATGCTTCATTTATTACCCCTCAAGTTTATATAAATTCTCGAAATGGCTCATCATAATTATTGTTGTTGTCATTCGCATCGAAACTATTGTTGAGTAATATTGGCGCTGCATTCGATTGTTGCAACATCAATTGATTGTGGTTCGACTGCATAAGATGTTGCGACAATTGTGGCTGCAAGTGGCTGAGACTTTGGTTCTGTATCTGTATGGTGGTGGTGGCGGTCGTTAGGCGAAGTGGCTGATTTGCACCATCTGCTGCGGCTAAGGCACAGTCATAAGAGTTTGTGCCGTTGGTAAGGACCTCGTCATAGCAGGAACCGCCACCGCCAGAGCTGCCACCACTGCCTCCGCCACCATTTAAACTCAATATGCCAACACCAATGCCAACACCAAGTCCAACATCGTTCAAACCAAGTCCACCATTGGTAGTCATTTCGCTGGTGGTAGCTCCATTCAATATAACGCCATTCAACTCCAGTGATGGCTCCTCATTGCGTTTCGAAAGAATTATATGCGTCAAGTTGATAATATAGTTTTTGGCCAAGGTAAGTGTTTCTATTTTAGAAAGACGCCGTTCCATTTCCACGTGGGGAATGACTTCACGCAGGGACTGAAATATAAAATATTTGTAAACATGAACATTAGGGAGGGTCGATTCTTTTTTTTACTAAATCGGAACCATAGGTTGGAAATGAGTTTCGAGCCTGATCATTTTTAAGTGAAAAAATTATATTTGCACAAAATAAATTTGTTTCACCTTTTCTTACAACTTTTGCATTTAAAATGTCTGTATTTGTGTATTCATCCAATAGTATTTTTGCAATTTTTCCGTTTAAAATTCTTTTTACTGTCAATGCAAGACTGTTTTGTTCAACAAATCAAACACTGTGGATGTGCACACCTGTCTGGTTATCAGGTTATGTGGTTATTATTTATTGAGTTTAATTTTAAGCAGATAACCTGATAACCAGGCAAGTGTGAACAACCTCACTGTAATGTAAAATTATAGTTTTGGATTTGAGTGAATGAACATTTGTTTAAATCATTTATAAAAAGTAAATAAGTACGTGTATACACCAATGGTGGGCAAACGCGGCTCTTTGAGCCAAATGCGGCCCTTTGCTTATCACAGTGCGGCTCTTTTTACTTTCTCTTTGCTTCGAACATTTTGGCTCTTTTTACTTTTTAAACTATATATTGTGTTGTTTTTTTATTTAATTCTTTTTATATACACATACGAAAATTGAGATCGGAACATGAACCGCAATTGCAGAATGAAAATTGCCTTTCTGACTTAATGTTCTTTACCGATATGATGGAACATTTGCTAAACTGGAATTTGTCTCTACAAGGAAAGAATAAAAATGTTTGATTTGTCGCAAATTATTTTAAGTTTTGAAGCTAAACTATTTCGTTTTATACATGATCTCAAAAAAGAATATTTCATCATTTTCCATGGCTAGAAAAAAATACTACACATGTCAAAGGGGATAAACTGGACCCCATGTCGCAAAACTACATCATTTAAAAGCAGATTTTGAAAAAAGATTTGCCAACTTGAAATTATTTATATGTACGATTGCATACTTCATAAACCCTTTTTATGTAACATAATTGAGGATGAATTTACAATATCCGAAATACTCCTTTTTAAGAAAAGCGAAGAAGAGTTGAAGTTTTTGGAATGAAAAGAAGATAAGACACTGGAAATGCAACACAAAGCTTTGCCATTGCTTGAATTCCGCCAACAAGCATTAGATTTAAAATATACGCCGTTGAAAGCAGCTGCTTGCCGTATATTTTAAATTTTTAGTTCAACGTATAACTGTGAGTTTTTGTACTCTGCAATGAAATTCGTAAAGCCAAAATACCGTTCACAATTGACTAACCAACATGTAACAGAACTGTTTCGAACGGCTTTAACTGACGTAAAACCATTTTTTGAAAATTTGGCCAAAGGGATCTTTTGAATTTTCTTTAATATCTATCTTACGTACATTAGGATAATGATAAAATGCTTTTCATTTCTAATAATAATTTTATTAAAAAATAAAATTTTTGTGGCTCTTTGTAGCATTTAGAATTTAGATGTGGCTCTTTTCGGCCACGGCCTTGCCCACCCCTGGTATACACTGAACACTAAAAATTCGATATGTAAATCAATTAAAAATGCTATAATCTAAAATATAAGCATTTTGTATCCAATACATATGTACATATGTAGTTACAGCTAGGATTGTTGATATTATATCGATATTGACAATATTTTTTGTTTCTGATACGATATTATCGGCGCGATATAATTGAGGACGTTAATATCAGATATCGATAATTTATGCACAAATATCGCCTTGTTACCAGAACAATTGCATGCTTTAGCTTTTTTATATTTATATGGTTAATTTTTTACATCAGTTCAACAAACTTTAATAACCTGCGCAATCGCTTAATATATCGTCACTAGACACGAATAAAGGCGCGAGCTCAAAAGTTGACCGCGAAGAAAGGCGCATAAAAAAAAACTTCAGCGAAGAAAGACTCTTAACATAGTTGACCGCGAAGAAAGACGCGTTAAATTATTTGACGGCCAAGAAGGACGCGTAAACTTTTTCGCGGTCAACTATGTTTGCGGGTGTAATAGTATGTACATTCCGTTAATAGTTTTTGGGGAATAGTGGCAGTCCTTCGCCAAGTATAAATCTATGATTACGCGTCTTTCTTCGCCGTCAACTAGGTTAGGCGTCTTTCTTCGCCGAAGTTTTTCTTAAGCGCCTTTTTTCGTAAAACTTTTGTATGCGTCTTTTTTCGCCGTCGAAACACTAGCGCGCCTTCATTCGTGTCTAGTGACGATATGTATTAATCAATTAATACAGATCTTTATGTGTATTACAAAATGTGCCCGTACATACATCTATATTTAAAAACATTAATTAAGTTTTTTACCATTAAAATACGAATAGTTAAATTTTTTAATTGTCGGAAGTCTTGAAAGTAAAATTTTTACGTGTAAGAATTTATGTCGGTTAACAGATCTTTCACATTTGGAAAATGTAAAATAAATAATACTGTAAGTTATTCTTCTTTTCTTTGAACTATTATTGAAAAATGATTCTTAAATATCCCTGTGCAATTTCAAATGTTTTTTAGTGCGATACATTGATATATCGATATTTCAAAAACGATATTATTGATATGACGATTTTTTTCAATTTCGCCATTTCTATATATCGAAACGCGATATTTTTGAAAATATCAGCAATCCTAGTTGCAGCAAAAGGTTAAAGCAATTTGAAACTGATAAATAATGAAAAATATAAACTTTTGTGAAAAGTTACATTTTTTTTTAAAACACGCAAGCTAGAAACTCATTTCCGCCGTATGCTTTCTTCTACACTTTCTCTTAAAATTATTTTTAGAGACCGGAAATTCCATACTCATCCTCGAAAAAAAATCTCCCGACCAATTTCCACACGCTATATGTACAAGGCGAATTCATAAAAGGTGATAGCGACAGGTATTCACAATACGCCAAAAATTGGAAAAGACCAGCGAGTAAAGGACACTCACCACCATTCGTCGAGTTCAAAGCTGCTTTCGACAGCACTAAAAGCAGTTGCCTATACGCCGCGATGTGTGAAAAATGACGTTGAGCAATTACCACCAGCTCCGCCAGAATTGGGAAAGATCTCCCCGAGTAGTTTGCTACCAAGCGGGGTTTCAGACAGGGCGACTCCCTTTCATATGATTTCTTTAATCTGATATTGGATCTGATAAGCCGCAGAACTGAACTGCTCAAGCACAATTCTTTACAAGAGGGTACAATTGCTGGCGCATGCGCATCGACATTATCGGTAATAAGAACCGCAAAAGTCTGTTCTGCCTTTCCAAGTTGGATAGGGACGCTAAGCGATTGGGTCTGGTGGTAAACGAGGATAAAACGAAGTATCTCCTGTCAAAAAACAAACGCCAGCGGATCCCCGTCTTGGCGCACACGTCACTGTTGACAGTTATAATTTCAAGAAAGTAGAGAATTTCGTTTACTTGGGAACCAGCATTAATACCGATAATAATGTCAACATCGAAATCCAACGGAGAATCCCTATTGCCAACAAGTGCTACTTTGGACTGAGTAGGCAATTCAGGGGTAAAGTCCTCTCTCGCCGTACAAAAAACACACTCTATAGGGGAATTATCATGCCCGTGTGGGTATATGGCTCAGAAGCATTGAAAGATTTTGCGGAAGATTTATGGACCTTTGCGGCGAGTACCGCAGACGATGGAACGATACTCTGAAAGTATTCAACTCGGAGCCCGCTGGTGGTAGCAGAGGAAGAGAGAAGCCCTAACAGCGATGAAAATAGCTTCGCTTGGTATTTCCAATTGGTGTCAGTTGGCACAGAGGAGAAATGACTGGCCCGCTTTGTTTAACTCGGCCAAAATCGCTTATGCGCAAAATACACCACACAAATATTTGCCCAAGTCCAAATTAGTACAAATAAGATTGTTATTCGACTCCTATTTGTACTAATTGGTATTGGTATAATATTTGTGTGGTTAATTTTGTGCATTAAGCGGCTACAGCATCAAATAATAGTGATGGAGAACTTTCGATGGGGCTCTCGATAGTATCGATGGTGTCATTTTGCCGCCACTATCGAATTTTTCTTAACACTTCTTCAAGGTTTTTGTTATGGAATGTGTTACTGAAATACACGATCTAATTTTGTTTTACACAAGATATTTTTGTGTATAAAAATAATCTTTATGGTTTTTGTAGTTACGAAATGGGTTATTTAAGAATAAGATTTTTTCTTGGCTTATGTTATCTTATATAGTAAAAAAAGAAGCAAAGAAATTTCCAGGCGATGGGATCTGTCATATCACTTGCCAAATTTTTCTTGGACCATAAAAAATGGAATTACATTTGACGATTTACAAAATCTTATGCTCAGTTTCATCAATCAATTTTAAATTTGTCAGGCCGTTATAATTTAAAATAACATAATTTTTTAGGAGATTGTGCTATTTTAAATTTTAAGTTTGATACATTTTAAAATTGATTGGTGAAACCGGGCATTAGTGTTATATCTCAACATATGTAAGATATATTTCGATAGTATCGAATATTTTTTCACTATCAGTATCGAAACAATCGAATGTGTTCACTTCAGCTGCTTCGGTACACCACCTTGTATGTATTCGCCTTGTGTACATACATATGTATATATATACATGTACAGCTTAGTCATCATTACGAAAGGCCCTAATTGGCATATATATATAGGTACATATTTATGAACACTCCTCGTCATTTGAATAGCGCACCCTTTTAATCGATAGTATTTACAGTTTTCCTTTTGTTCATTTAATATTCAGAAATTTTTTGTAAAAATATATCATATTTTACGTGTAAATCCGATTTTATAATTTTATACAAATTTAAAACAATGTCAACAAAGGGGTGCGCTATCCCAATGAAATGCAGTGCATTTTAAAAAAAATTC